GGGGGGGAGGGGGGGAAGACGGACCACGAGCGAGTGAAGCTGCTGCCAAGGAAAGACTGATGCGCCAGAAGTGAAGGCGGCTAACTAACTAACCACCCACCTTGGCACTCCGTGCCGCCCTCAGCGCCTCCTCTGACTGCGCCAAGAGAGCCTCGTGCGTGTGCTGCACCTCCGTAGTACGAGTTCGGATCTGTTGGAGGTACCGCAGGTCCGCAGCGAGCTGTACGACGGGGGTAGAGAGGGGGCGGGGGGTGATGAGGCGGGGTGTGTGGGTTGTCCGTGTTGGGAAGAAAACCACCAACTCCCTAACATACGGCTCCGGTTACCCCTGGTGGGGCCAGGACCCAGGGACAAATACACAGTGCACATACATACATGCAAACATACATGCATACATACCTCACCCCAAAAAAGCTCACATGCTCCCCCAGACATACGCACATACATAGGCACGCACACATACACACATACGCACGCACCTGCGCCTCCCGCTTCCTCCGCTCCGCATCCGCCTTGGCGAGCTTGGCGGTCCACCACTCCTCCGGGGGACCTTCGCGGTGCCAGGCCCGACGGCTGCTGATGCTGGCAGCCAGGGTGGAGGGGACGGAAGGAATACTGCCGCCGCCGCCGCTACCGCCGCCGCCGCCGCCGCTGGCAGATCCAGAAGTACGGCGGCTGGCGCTGACGGAACGTGGCGGCGGGTATGGCGGTTGGTGGTTGTGGTGGTTGGGAGGTTGTCGTTGGGAGGAGGGCCTGGAGTGCTGCTGGTGACTGGAAGGACGGCCACCTGCAGTGGTTTGTTGGTTGGTTAATTCGTTGGTCGGTTAATTTGTTTATGTGTACGACTCGCGTCTTACGAGTGATCCGCACGTGTTTCCCCTTCCCTTTAAAAGCACTCGCAGTCGTACACACATACATACATACATACATACATACATACATACATACATACATACATACATACACACACCCCTGCATACGCACGAACCTCCCTTCTCCCCCTTCCCCCCCTGCCCTCCCTTCCCCCCTTCCTTCCCTTCCCCCCTTCCTTCCCTTCCCCCCTTCCTTCCCTTCCCCCCCTTTCCCCCGTCCCTTCCCCCCCTTACCCCCTCCCTTCCCTCCCTTGCCCCCCTTCCCCCCCTTTCCCCCCCTCCCTCTCCCTCGT